AAGTTTGCATCTCTGACTTGGTAGAGAGGCATGGGTTGTAAGTATATGAATGTGAAATGTGTTTATACTGTATATAGGGGTTGGGACACTTTTTCCCTTAATTTCATTTCCCAACCATTTCTGTTTCGGGCCTGAAATTGTTCTTGTCTAATTTTTTACATTTAAGTTATTCATATTCATATTCTGTGAACAATGTATTTTATTTTGTTAATAAAGTCCCTATCTTTCAAATTGAAACTGCTCTGCTTGCTAACTTTTATTTGTTGATACCATACTTACTATAGGGATGACTACATCATTATTAAAGCTAATTAACTATAGATTCACTATAAGATCACCATAGTAATTGTCTATAGTGTGTTCCAAAAGACCATAGAAATAATATAGAAAGCACTATAGTGATACTACATAAAACTCAATAGTATAACTATAGTAATTTCCTATAGTGGCCGAAAAACCATAGAAATACTACAGGAAACACTATAGTATAACTGTAACTTCACTATAAGATCACCATAGCCAACTCTATAGTATTACTAAAGTAATTCTCTATAGTGTGTCCCAAAACACCATAGAAATACTATAGCAGTTTTTTGTGGTATTTCTATAGTAATTCTTATTAGTAATACTATAGTGTTTTTTCGTAAGAGGGTAGAATTGTCGATTCTTGTTCTGTGTTTTCTGTGATGCCTCTCACCCTCTCAGACTTTCAGTTGCGCTGGCTGCTTAAGAGACGCGCTACCATGGAAACCAAACAATGGTGTAGCTATATTAAAGTCAGAGTGCAAACAGTCGTGACAAAATCTGATTTTGTCAGAAATCGGAAGAAATGGGGGAGACATATGACCCCGGGAGAGGTTAATGCAATCGGGAGTCTCCCGCGAAAATCGGGAGGGTTGGCAAGTATCGGGGGTCCCACTGACACCAGCCCATTTTTGGATCTTGGCTCGCTCCTATTTTGACTGTCCTTTGTCATAAGTGTCTTTCAAGTCCACTGCTGGAAATGTTATCACACAGGGAGCATTATTGTATGCCTCTGATAAATATTTGTGAGATTAAGACCATAGAAACTAAAGATCAAAAGGTTCTACTACCTACATTTCCTCTAGTTTTCAGTATATTTAAATGATTTCATTTCAAGGGTTTCCCTGCGCTGAATTAATAATGTTGAGCAGAGCGCACTCTTCTGGGGAGACGAAAATGATTTAATAATGTCTGGGAATTCTTATCAATATTATCAGAATTTGGCCTCACAGATTTGTATTTCTGTCATCTAAATTATAATGTAAAAGAAAAGCAATTTAGGTTCTTAGTGTTTGACAACAATATAATAAAGTTAGTTAAATAACTTCCATTGCCCAAGGAAGTATAATCCATTATTTTCCAAAGAAAGCCAAAACTTTATCCAAGAAATTAAAGCTTTTTTTCTCTTCTTTTAATAATACTATGACCTCACAGGTTTATCTTTTGACCTTTGGAGGGACTCTACCCCTTAATTGACCCCTTAAACCTGGACTAAACTAGCTGTTCATAAAGAAGTTTAAACTGGCTAATATTTATAGGTATCAGTTGTTTCAATACAATGCTTACATTTAGCTGCTCTAAATTATAAAACATAAATGAAGAAGTATTTCCCATACAGGATATTGACTTGAATTGGAGTATTTTTGTAATGCTTTATTGTTACTTAATATATGGAAAAAAATTCCGGAGGAACATTGTGTATTTTTGGAGAAAGCTCATCTTCATGTCATTGTGGAAACGCATGATGCCGTCAGTTACTGTGATACAGGAGCTAGAACAACACTGATGATTAAAAACACAACACAGAAACAAACTCTAATTAGCTTTTTATTGTTTAAAAGTCATTTAAGCAGAAATACAAAAAGAAAAACTTGATTCTCTATAAAATAAGGTTATACTAGCTTTGTAGGAATAGAATAATTTGTTAGAATTACTAATTGTAAAAATAAAAGACTCAGGGAGGTGAGTTGTGTGCATAGCTTGTTAACAACCTCCAAACAATGAGAAATACAAAGATGAAAAAGGGGAGAGAATATATAAATAAATGCTTTAAAAAGAATACTAAAGGCTGTGGTGATGTAAACCCAATTTCAGACTATACAGTCAGTGACTCACCCCGAAAATTGTGAGAAACCACGTGATTAATAAACAAAAATACAAACAGGTATGTAAAGAAAAGTGATTCAACTTGTATATAATGAGCTGGATTCAACCAGTGTAGAAGTGTGAAGAATGAGAATCAGAATACCTTTATTAGTCCCACAGAGGGGAAATTTGCAAATAAGATGTGGAAGGTGGAAAACTAAAGCTTCACCGTAAAAAATATTGTGCTTTAGTATGTTTTCAGATGAAGAACAGAGTCTTAAAAAGCCGATTTTCTTTGAAAACAAGGCCAAAATGATTATTTGATTTGTTTCGGATGCAATTAAGCAATGTTTCGATTTGTCGTTTGAAAGGAAACAAGTTGTAATAAAAGTTTTTTTTTTTAAAAAGCTTAAAAGACAATCATTTGCTGGTTTCAAAATGTGCTGATTATCCCTATTTTTGATTGTAGAATATCCTTAGTTGGAGCCAAATCTTGGCAAATAACATCTGTGTCATTCAACTAAACTCAAGTGGACTTAACCTGCATTTGAAAATAAAGACTTATTCCTTTTTTAAATCTTTTTACAAAAGACATTTTTGGATTTTAAGACTCTTGAGAATAAAATGTTGTTCTTACTTTATGTGGAAAAGTATCTGGAGTACAAACCCAAATGGAAAAACTCTTTGATAAAAAATAACCCATCAACCAGCCAGCTGGGTGTGTGTGTGTGTGTGTGTGTGTGTGTGTGTGTGTGTGTGTGTGTGTGTGTGTGTCTGATCTACACAACTTTAGTGTTTGTTTACAGCTGTCTTCGGATGAACAAACTAACTAAACATCCATGCGAACACCAAATGAGCACAGACTCGTTGCTCCACCAGGGGGCAACAAAGACTTTTAGAGTCTGCAGAAATCCCTCTTCATGGATTAAACTCTGTCTTTCAAAATAAAACCAGAACAGTTTGTACCACAAAACTGTGTTTCTCAGATCGACCTCACATTCAGTTTGAACTTCGGATGGCGAAGAGAACTAAATGATAAACAAGTCATCCTTCACGGAGATGGAGCAGCAACATGCAGTGAGTATAGGCTGGGATTCCTCGGCACGTTACAACATAGAACACAATTAAAACAAAGAACAAGAAAAAAATATTTCTCTCCTCTCCATCACTAGCACTCACAGATTTCCTGGTGCTTCAGGATCATTCAAGAGAAACTTTACAGGCACAAAGTGGTTCCACTGCTTTTCCCCGATCAACAGGGAATAGCAACAACTAAAAAAAGATTAAGCGGTTCAGAGTTTTTGCATCTTTGTAGTGGTTTTCTAAACTTTTACTTTAAGCTTTAACAAAAATGACTTCTGATGAACATATCAACACTGCAAGTGTTGGGGGAAGAACACAGTTTATGACAGAAGAATAAATCAAGTAGTCAATTGGCCAGGTTTCTACCGTTGGTGAACAAAGCAAATCAGGAAGTCACTCAGGGCTAGCCGGCAATGACTTCCTGTCTCTTTCAGCTCTAATGTAATGTCATTACTGTCACTTCGCACACACATGTTCTCCACAGATGGTCTCTGGCAGTCAGTCTTAAAATATCCTTTTGATATTAAATGTACCATGACCACCTAGACGTGGAAAGGTAAAGAGGATCGAGCTAAGTACGATGTAAAACGTGTCAAAATAAATCTGTAAAAGAAATGGAATTGAGTAATGAATTTATAATGAAATTGGCTTGAATTTGACTGAAGTTGGACACCATGTGGATTTAACTCTAGTCTGTCCTATTCAATCATTTGTTTTTGAGCAGTGACATAATATTCTTGACAGTAACTGAAAAGGAAATGGCTTTAAACATTTTTACCTAAATTAACGCAGGCCCTGACAAGACACCAATATTTTTTGATCTAACATTATCAGCTTGAAAGCAGGTTCCATTTTAAACAGATAAGATACTAAAACTGAGCAGATGTTTGGTCTGTAGTGACTTTACATTGTTTAATTGACTAAATGATTCATACTCAAAGAATTTAATGAAATAGAGGAGTGGCTCAAAGTAAGAACAAATATTTCAGAGTCTTACATTTTTAGAAATAAAAAAAAGTGTTTTTCGTTTTGTTGATTTGTATACTAACTGCAAAAAAAGTATACGACAAATAAGTATACTGTACTTCAAGCAGTTGGTATTAAAAAGGGGAAATATCAGTCATCTCAGACGTAATTTTTAACCGTTTCCCTCCTTTTACGCTACAGTTAGCATAGAGCATCAGTCAGAAAAATAAAACCAGGGACAAATGTATGATGTTACTGCCTGTATCTGTTATCACCTTACAGGTAAAACAGATTTAACATCAAGTGTTATCTCTTTAAAACTCCAGGCTTCTTTGGATATAAATCCCATCCAAAGTCTAGTTAGGTAAACACACCACAAGGCAGTACAAGAAAAACATTTGTGCAGGGAAACAGCTGAACGGAGTGCAGACAAACTTCACATAAAGTGCAAACTGACGAGGTTTCTCCCCCTCGCGGCATCAGACCGGCTGAAGCTCCGAGGAAACCAGCGAGACAGGAGACGAGACGATCCACCGCTCCTGCTCCAGGTCTAATGGATCTCTATCACCACAGGCTCGTACCCGCCGGCAGACACCCTGCAGACACCAAACACACAAGAACCAGAGTCAGAGTGTGGTGTGTGTGTGTATGGACAAGTTCATTAGTGTGTTTGATGTGCTGGAGGGTTATCACAGTTACATCACTTTAATCCTTACTTTAATTGGTACCATGGACATTTATGAACAGTTTATTGTGTAGTGGCAAACAGATCTCAGTCATAAAAAAAGGGGGTAGGCTTTCAAATGAAGTCTTTTTTAAAGATCTGAAACATTTCGTTTATTGCAAGTTTTTATTTTTCCAAACTAATGCTTGAAAGTGAATATAGTTTGTTAAAGTCTGTTGATGTGGTCAATTTGTTTCCGTAAACCAGGAAGTTTATGTACTGCATTTCTTTGCAATTTGTTTGAATTGTACCCACCAAGGATAAGAGTGCCGGCTAAATAAATGCTATGTAAAAGTCAAGTCAAGTAAAATCTATAAATCATGAATTTGCCTCTAAAGGACTTCCGAATCGTCCCTAACCATCTATGACAGCCAATCATTACATTTATCACACTGTATTTGAGTCTAAAGCAAAGAGCTGCGCCAAGAACTGCAAACATTTAATCCAATCTTAGATCAGCAAAAAGTATTTAATCAGGAACAACCAAATTAAATTGAAAAGGACATATTATGCTCATTTTCAGGTTCAGATCAATAACATGCACAAAAACCTATAGAAACACACAACAGGGAAGGGAAAAGCACAATAGGGCCCCTTTAAACTAAATCTGACCAGATATGTGTTTCTAAACTTCAACACTTTTTAAAAACGTTATGGGGTTTTGCTCAAATTCTTGACAAGGAAACTGTTAAGCGCCACAAACTGACAACAATAGAAAATGTCTCTATAGCTAAAACTCCAATCTGGAAGGAAGAAACAAAGAGCGGAGGAAGTGTTTAAAAAAACCTCAATAATAGAAAGTCATAACCGAGCTCTCACCTGTTCCCGAGCCTGATGCCGCTGAGCGCAGTCGTTCCGTCTCTGCTGACAAACAGTCGCAGGTTGCTGTCTGAAAGCCAGAGACACAGAAACACAGTGAGCTGCTGCTGAAGGAACCAGAAGGCATCGACACGCAGACAAAACACAGAGCTGAGTGTGTGGGAACGAAACTCCATCCCACTCAGGGATTTTAGCCTTTGCAGACCATTTATATGCACAAAAACCTACTTTATATAAACACACTACAGGGAAGGGAAAACTCTAAAAAGCATAATAAGGCCCCATTAAATCTAGTTCTCTTTAGTGTGCACGGGCTGTAATCAACCCCTTTTAGCAGTATACAGTATAGCGACTGCTTTCCTAAAAAAATGAACATTTGTTCTGGACTCCGTCCTGCAGTTCCGCATACATGTACATATACAAACATAGTGGGACATTAAGAGACATACACATATCATCAGTCATACAACCTGTAAAGCAATCACTACTGAGATACAAATGTGCAGCTGTTGTTTTAAGTACTGTTTTTGTCCTTTTGAAACTCACAATAAAGGGAAAACATACAGAAAAGGTTGACACAGAGCTGCGCTATTGATGTTAGATTACTCCATAGTACCTTCAGTGTTGTTGACATCTGCAAAGTTTTGGCTTTGAACAATTTTCTCCACAATATCATCTGCGTCCATGCGGGTGTCGTTTACCCAAGAGGGGTGACTCTCCACCGAGTCCTGCTTCCTCCTGAACCAATACAGTAAATGAAAAATGCATGTGTAGTTAGAAGAGGCCAAACCACAGTACTCTCCTGAGCAGAGGACTTATGCACTGTACTCTGCGTTCGTACCTGGACGGCCTGTTGGGGAGTAAGATGGGCCGCGGAGGTCGAGGGGGTCTCTCTGGACGTCCGGCGTCCTTGTCGCCCTCTGCAGGGGTGTCAGCAGGGGAGGCCACGCCCCCAGAGGCGCTGCTTCCTGTCGAGGTGTTCCTGCGGTGTGTGAGGTCCGACAGGCTGGAGGAGCAGGAGTGCTCAGTGCTGTAACCTGCAGGGACACAGGCTTTTAACACAACGCTTTTATCCTCTTTACAGTGGCTTCTAGTCAGTTTAGAATAGATTTCATGGTTCTTTTGATTATTAACAGAGCACTCCATGGTGTAGTTCCGATCTTGTATCTCAGTATTTCCCTGCTGGCACTTTGATATGGTCAGGCAGAGGCCTTCAGTCTATTCCAGTCAGGACAGCTCTCGAGATAAAAGGCTCTGGAACACCATGCCCAGGCTTATACTAGATTATCCTTTATTATTCCAAAATGGAGAAACTGTTTTGCTACAGCAGCATGTTAACAAGGAAAAGCAATACAACAATATTTTATATATATATATATTTTTAGGTAGAATACAAAATAGCAGGCCAACCTACCACTAACAAATATAAACATAGAATATTGTATTGCGTACGTTATTGCAAAGGGAAAACTGAGCGTAGTCCAATTAAGAAATAAAATAAAAACATAAGAAACTACAAAGCTTTGAGCGATTTATTTTATTTTAAAGAGGACATATAATGCTCATCTTCAGGTTCATAAATGTATTCTGTGCCTCTACTGTACCATGTTTATATGATTTAATACAAGCTACATGTGACTACATAGAAAACCTAGGGACATGAGTACTCAAAACAATGTATATAGTTTGTAGGTGAACTACTCCTTTAAATGACACTTATTACGCCATGGACACTATTAGCTACATTTATTCTCTTCTCATAAAAAAAGAACACGATTGAGTACACATTTTGATTGTAATTCTGGCTACTTTCTATTTTATATACAGTATCTTATCTTGACTCTTTTCCTTATGCACCAAAACACTAAGACAAATTCCCATATAGGATATATATAGTGCACTTAACACTGGAATGTATGCTTTTCAGTAGCCTTAAGGGTTCCCCACGTGACATAAATATAATCATCTGTCAACAGGTTCGCCAAATAGACATGTGTGGACCATGTGACCATGCATTATCACCCAGTGGGATAAGCGCAAATGAAGGGTTCCAGAAATTGTGTATAGGACACAAAGTGACAGCAAGAGACCTTTAGGCGATTGTCATCACTCTTTCTCTACCAATGTACCTGTATCTCTACATTTAAAAGTGCAACAACAGAAAATGCCATGACAATGGTAGATTTAAAGAGGACATATTTTGCCCTTTTTCAGGTTCATATTTGAATTGTTTACCTCTACTGAGAATGTTTACATGCTTTAATGTCCCACCCCTAAGCCTATCATGTAAAACGTGTTGGAGCGCTAGCCAATAGAAGTGATGTCAAATAGAAGGGATTTCACTATGTTATGCAAGTAAACAAAGAGTCCAATGGAGGCGTTTCAGGCAGGGGGGAATGTGTGTGAGAGAAACTCCCTCAGGGGATTTTAGCCTTTGCAGACCATTTACAAGCACAAAAACCTATATAACACACTACAGGAAAGGGAAAACCCCCAAAAGCATAACAAGGCCTCTTTACATCTAAGCTCAAAATGCTTTTATTGCACTGCCTGCCTACCCTAGTTTGACTTGATTATGGGTTATGTGCTATTAAAAGTATAATTAAGTATAATATTATTATTAAAAAGAAATCAGATGAGACCTTAAAAATATTACAGATTATCAACGCGATATTTTGGCGAGGTGACTTTCTACAGGAGTATTGGAAATTACAGGTCTTGTATAATAAAGAGTTTAATCCCCCACAAAAAAGGGCTACATGAGACATTTGTTAGTGAGTCTTGTACCTGAGATTTTGCTGTGCTGGCTGGCATAGCTGGAGTTACGAGAGTGACCAGAGAGAAAACCTTCTGCAGGGCCGGAGTGGCTGGCTTCTGATTCATTAAGGAGACCTGAAGGCACCAAAACAAGAAAAAACAAAATGGTTACCACCTCACATATATTTATTTCATGTCAAAATGTTTATTTAGTTGCTTCCTCTGCAGGATCAGACATCAAGCAGTCTTTGTTTACTTCTGTTTCTGCAAATGCAAACTGTTTTTCCGCAACTGCAATTGTAAACTACCTTTTGTTGAAATAAAACCTGTTGTTTTTCAAGTATTTTATTTCAAAATGAAGAAGTCTTAAACATTGCCAGCAAGGACAATGATTCTTTTTTTGTTTACTTCTTCCAGGAAGTTATGTTTCTGATTGAAAAACTCTTATCGCTGAGGGGCTTAGCCAAGATCTAAGACTCAAGACTGTGTCAGATGTTTTTGTACTACTTCTTACTTCTTTGTCTTTTTGACACCATTTTACTGAGATTTACCTTTTACTACCACAGTTTGGGAACCAATGGTTTAAGATAAATGTGTAGTTTAAGGACCAGATTCAAAACTTAACCTGGTCTCGGAGTACAATACAGACTAAAATAATCCTCTTTAAATGTTTCAGCTGAGACCTGAGCTGTACCTGAGCTGATGATGGAGGGTCGAGGCTTGGAGGCTCGGCCCAGAGAGACCCCCCCAGCAGGCCCGGGCTCGGCCGTTCCCTCCCCCTTACAGTCCAGCTGCAGGGTGTGCTCTTGTCCCGGGATGGAGATGGATTTGGCTGCGCAGGGAGGCCTGCAGGAAAAAAGTAAACGCAAGTTATCAGTCTGGAAAAGATTAAATGAGCACAGAGCTGCTTAGCTTGGCAGCCTCTTCACATTCATTGGATTGCCTGCGGGGGAACTGAGTCATTGCAGCAATAAAGGACGGACGAGTGGAAATATGATGTTCAACAATCTGGTTAAAAGGTTAAAAATGTCATTAAAACACAAGGAAACCAATTATAATGTATGCAGAACTCCATCAACAGAAAAACAATGTAACTTTACAGATTCACTATTAAAAATATCTTCAGTTAATCAAGTGGAGAATGTATGGCTTGGTTTAAATTGATCAGCTTTAATTCAGTGTTACTAACTTTTCCATTGTTAATGTTTCCAACAACAACAGAGGGAAAAGAACCCACACAACTTTGGCGTATAAAGTTAACAAAGCTACAATAAAGTACCCTGAAATGAGTGGGTATAGAAAGAACTGTAATTAAGATACAACTGCATATTAATGTATATACAAACACAATACTTCTACACACTTCTAATACTGCAGCTCCAGTCTGATCTCCATCAGATAACAATGTTAAAATGGTAAGCAAACTAATATTGAGAGCAACAGGCTGATGTGATAGACGCTCTGTGATGAACTTTGTGTACTATACATTGAGAAATGACTGAGACATGAATAAAGCACATCGTATATCTCACACTCTTTCAAATACTCACGTCTTAAAACACGGATCTCCAGACAGGAGGGTCATCCCAATGATCACCTTTAAAAAAGAAATACAAATACATTTTACCACACAATTTAATTTCAGTTCCTATTGATTAACCTATATTTTTGCTATTAAGAAGAGTCAAAGTGCATGTTTTGACCCAAATTTCTGTTAAGGAACTGTAAAAGTGTGGAGTGCTTTCCCAGTAAGCTCACTGACGTACGAGTTAACAGTATGTCTTCCAGAGGAATGAGATGACAGAGTTACTCGTGACTGTCTTGGCTTTGTTTTACAGCGCAGTGTACCCTGACGGCCTCTGGGTGGTGCTGCAGAGAGAATGATCCAGAAGCTCCTTTACCCACAGAGACATTAAACTGTTCAGCTGTGTGTGAAGATGACTGCTTTTCGTTTGGTGTTGATGTTGACTTTTGGGTTTAGATGTCTTCAAAGTGATTTTATTTTGTTTAGCCAATAGTCAAAAAGCACTAAATCATTTAGCAAACATGGGGCCCTATTTTCCCATTTGTAAGGAGGATTTCCCAACAACCCGAGATTAAGGTTTAGCCTCCTTTAGATCGGTAAAGACATTGGACTTATTGTGGTGAGGAGGGAGTGCAGTAGCTTTATTATTCTTTATTTAATCTTTTTTTTTTTTCTTAGGTCATCTTTACGAAAAATACATCCTAATAGTTGCATCCCAAGTTATTAGTATTCTAAAATGTTAACTTTAGAATATATATAAAATCCTAAGTTTATATTTTTAGAGAGATTGTGTTGTGTTTATATTAAAGAACCTTTTTACTTATAGAGTGGTGCAGGGATGACGTTTTTACCCGGAATTAAGCTGCGCATGGTTTCCCTCGAGAAAAAAGCAATGGGATTTCTCCATATGATTTGGGAAAATAGTTCGAAATAAGGTCTGTGGAAAACGAACATGTTAGATAAATTCACGTTTTGTTCAGCCGGATAATATCTACATGTCTACACTACTTTTGTCATTTTCAAATCATAAATCTAGTCGCCAGAAGCAAAATGCTAACGTTATGCTATAAACGAACTACAGCAGGGTCGCTGCTTCAACGTCACGCCAACTTAAGATCCATATTCAAAGATACAGATTCAAAATTGTACAAGTTGAAGCTTTTGTTTTAACAGTTTGCAGGAGGCAGGTACTTGCTTTCAAGCAGAACAGGGCAAATAAACTTAGCAGGAGTGTTTACGTGTTCGGTGTAATGACGTACAACGTCCTCAACTTCTGTAGTCCTATTCAGCCACTTGTTAACAACCATCGTTTTTCAGACACGTAAACTCTTCAGAAATCACCAGTGGGGTCACTGCTGATGTATTTAATGTCGTAGAACAAAACGTGATCTTTCTCTTAAATTTGTGTCAACCACAGACCTTATTTCAAGGTATTTTCCAAAATCCTATGGAGAAATCCCATTGACTGAGACGAGGGAACCGGTAGTGGTAAAATGCTAACTCACTTCCGGGTTTTAGGACTCGTCACTGCACCACTCTATTCTGTGTATTTAGAGTGTGCATCATTTAGACACCCACTGTTTGTTTGTCCTTTGGACAGAAACACCAAAGCACTTAAACAGAAGTCACCAGGTTGACATGACAAAGAGCCTATTGATCCTCTACCTTTCCAATCAGGTCCCTTCTGATTAAACTCGTGGAGTGGAAGCAATTAATGAAAAGGTCAAAGTGTCAGAGTTAATGATTTAGCTTGCGTCAGGCATCACATTTACAACACAATAAAATTCCTGTTTCTACAGTGAGGGAACAGCCTTTTTGTCTTTTTTTGTCCCAGAACACCCTTCTCCTTGCCTTCAATATAGAGTTGTCCTGCCGTGTGTTCTTGGTGTCGTATCCTTCCAGCAGACAGCAGCGCACAGTGGAGCCAGAACCTGCAAACTCTGCCATGTTGAGGTCTGTGAAGCCCAGCTGAGTGAAAAAGAAGAAAAAACAAGTTAATTCTAGATTCACTAATGGACGGGTTCATTGGCATTTTATTTTTGGCATGAGAGATCTCTGTGGCACCCATCATTTACTAAATTACCGTCGTTAAAAAAAGTCACAAGCATCTGAAGTCTTTATATGACAGGGTTTAGAAACCACATGTCACTCTTAACAGACATCAAACCTATATTTTTGTTGAATTGATGAAGAGAATTACATGTTACATTTTAAAAAAAAGGTAGCTGGTTATATTCTCTGGATATACAGCCAGTGGGAAAATCATGAAACATTTGGGAACGACTCCTTGGAATCTATGGCACACCTAAACAGTGTGCACTCTGGAAAGGTATTAGGACGGCCTCTCCCTGCATGATGCAGTCTGTTTGTAATCTTTTTCTCCATTTACCCTCCCAAAAATCAAAAGATTCAGAACCTTGTTTGAAAATAAATGGGAAAATAGTCACAGAGAAAGGGGGAGTTAGGACGAGCTGTGACGGCACAAAAAGCTGAGCAAAAACAACTTTATATGGTCTATAATTGTGGTTTCTTACTAAATAAATAAAACAATTCAGTAAAGAGGAAAGAGGCCCTATTATTGTAATTTCCTAGATTTGTGTAAATTGTAAATTGTGTTAACCAGTTAAGCCCCAAGCCTGTTTGTTAAGGTCTCAGGCTCGAAAATGACATTCCCAGAACAAATGACAATAACTTCCCTTTTAAAAAGGGGAAAATTAATCTCAGTAGTATTATATATTATTACTCAAAGTAATGATAAACCTGTGAGTTGGATGTAGAAAAGTCAGAATCAATATAGAATTTTAAAGTAAATTCAGATTGAACACAGTAAAAAAATTTAAATTATAGTGTCCGTCCAAAAAACAAACCATTACTTATAGTGAAAACCACCCTTGAAGGATGGGATAGTAGACTAAAAGCTTTAGGAATCCAAACTATAACATATATTAAGTACCCTGTATCAAGATTGATGCAAAACAAGTGACATTTGACCTTTTTAGAGAGATTTAGAAGAAAAAAAAGCCACTTCTGGGGTCATTTGGGTGCATTTTCCATATCTCTGGCCCCCCTCGGTCGATTTTGATGATTGACATCTCTTTTGAACCATTAGAGCCAATTGAATCGAGGGGAAGTTCCTAAAATCCATCTAAACATTACCCATTGGTGAATGAGTGATGCGCAGTCAGAATGCCCAAAACCGGAAGCTGTCATACACTCTCGTAGCTATCATAGCAGCTATATATGAAAACTCTGTTTTTTGCCATAAATATGAAGATGGATTATCAGTAATCATTTCAAAGTGACACAGACACATTGGATTAACAATTGGATTAACTTTCAGCAGCGTTTTATGCGTTATATTGTCATTGAACACAACTTTTGATCAGAAAACAGCAAAGGTAAGACTTATTTTCCATTTTGGTCCCGTAAAGCTACGTTGTGTGATGTCTGGGTTTGCTTCCCCTGCCGCGAGTTTTGATGATATCTTGTTTGTGCAGATCCGATAAGTAATAAAGTATTTCTACTGTGAATTCTGTGCTAAGTTTCGCTCAGGGCTAATTCAGAGGCTTGTTATTACCCTTGTGTTTTGTTTAGCGAAAAATGGTTAATATTGTCTGGTAACTGAGTTTCTTCCCGTTAAGTGGGTATGACACATTCATAGTTTGTTAAATGTTAAGAAGCCCTCAGACGCTGTTTCTTGCAAGATGTTGCATGGGGCTTAATGTTTATACAAGATTCTTAATAATATTAAGCTATCTTTGGCTCTTTACTTGGTGTAACAATGAAACTTTCCCCTCTGTGGGATGAATAAAGGTATTCTGATTCTGAAACCGGCATTAGAGATCCAGATTTAGAAGGTAACACTGAAATGGACCCTACATGCCTACATGACTGTACCTTTAAAAATAACCTCACAGCTTCTTGCCGTGTGGAAACTGCCTTTGTCTGAAGCTCATTTGGGATGTTATTTTAAATTAACTACAATTTACAGCTCCTCTCAATCTAAATGTTCCCATGCTTCATTCTCCAGGTTTCCCTTTTATTGAGGAGCTTCTGTTTTCATAGGTGTGTATTTAAAAGGAAGCCAACTTCTAAAGAGGGAAGCTGGGTATATATTTAGCAAAAAGGAAACCTAAATGGAGAATAGGGAAAACAGAGGAAACGGTTCCTGTCCGGCAACAACGTCCACGGATCAACAAAAGTTTATCGCCTTGAGGGGTTTGACCTCGTAATTTCATCGCACGAGACGTGACTCATTTGGTAGGAGCTCTTACAGTTACGGTTAGAGAAGTGTTGGCAGGATGTTCTGCAGATTCCGGGCAAAAGTGAACGTAGGGAGGATGCATTTTTGATTTATTGTCAAGCTCTGCCCTAGCAGGGCTTGACAATAAATCACAAATGCGTACTCCCTACCAGTGCAGCGAGAAATGCTAATATTTACACAATGTGGCATTAAGGTTTACAGGGAGCTCATCGGCAACTTCATGAATGAGAGACACAAGCTCTTACCTTCGTATATGCTTTTCCTCCTTTGAGTTCCTGCAGGGAAAACAGGAAGACAGTAATGAACCTGGTGATCCAACTGATCCAACTTCATATTACAGTGGCCTCCAATTACAGGGATCCCAAAGAGAGAGTAAAAAATTACAGGCTGAGACCACACTCAGGGTGCCTCAGAGCATGGCATCGAGGCGCCGTTCACATGGGAGATTTCAGCATCACTGAAATATCCTGGATCCTGGATATACCTCAGACTCAAAAAGTCTGTACATTTATTTGGTTGCATCTAGTTTGTTGGTGGATGCAGTTCTTCAGGGCTGGGTATCGGTACAAGAGTTGGTTCTATATTGGTCAAGGGTCATTTATGCCTTTACAGTATTCCCACGTGCCACGCAACAAGTTTGAATAATTTGATTCTTTTTTTGGGGCAAAAGCCATTTCAATAGGGAAGAACAGCTGATTCAAAATGTTTGAACAGTAGTGTGAATCATTAATAGCTCCAGACAACCTTTTAATTACTTCTAGATCAGTGATCAATTATATTTGCAGTTAAGAGCATGGCAGTACTGGGGATTCCTGCAACTGTACCTGTTGTTAAATGACTCAAACTAACATAAACAGTATCAGACATGGTGGTTAATAAAAATAGCTTATTTGTTGGTTAATCTCTTTTGTAATTCAGTACTGCTCCATAACAAATCTTGTTAATGAATGGCTCAGATGATTATCACCTGACTACCTTTAAGTCAAAACTAATTAAATTCATAGTTTTTTTATATACACTGATTGACCTGTTGTATAAAAGTCGTACCTTCCTGACTGACAACCTGCAGATAGAGGGATCCAGGACTCCGGTATGGGGGTTTGCGCTCATTTTGGACACAAAGGTGAACCTCTTCCTCCAGCGAACACAGTTCTCTCGAACCTCCTGTCTGTGAAGAAAAAACACACAGCAGGGGCATAAATCTCTGCGATTTACAATTTATGTACTGCACATTTCCATGAATGACTTATTTCGAAAAGCCTTTCCATTTTTGCTTACTCCTCGCTTCTAGAGTTGCAGACTTTATTCAATAAAAGTATGATTTATTGTTATATTTGCTGAGGCAATACAACTGAAAATGACACTGATGTCAAAGCAACCATAAAGTGTGTATTTATGCATATACCAGGACTTACTTCCTGACATGTAGGTCAAACCCAAACGTTCTCAAGGCTCAGAAAACACATAATTCTGATTTGTTATACTCAGACTTCAGAACAGCACATTCTTTACAGTTTTGTTATCCCAGTCTCATAGCCTCATGACCAGTGTGCCCAACAAGGATCAGATTTGTCAGAGCAACACTGAGAAAACATGTTGTGAGCAAGTTTTTCCAAAACGACTGAATAACAGAGCGGATTCCCATGACTAATGACACTGGGTAAATTTTCTCATTTCAGGAACTTAACTGATTATTTCATTGATTTTGAGGATAGGGGCAGCGTTTCGCAGTGAACTGGTGACATTTTAAACTGGTAGAGTTTTCAGGATTTCCCCTCCTCCTTTACTGAAAAGAAAGCTGTCAAAGAAACCATGTACGATGGTCAAAAGATTTCTGTGAAAACACAGAAAATGCCAGTGGAAAACCTTGAAGTATCCATACATCCTGGTTAAAGGCTGGGAACACAGCAGTAGGAGTAAAAACAGACCTGGTCACCAATCTTTTTGTTTCTGAAAACAAAGGCTGAAGAAAAGTCATAGAAACACCAAAACATGGAGCAAGAGGGCAATGAATCTTGACTTGTTGTTTATTACGGTATTTCACTTGTGGCATGTGTTGTTTTGCCAGAACAAGATTTCTGTACAAATGCAGCCCAACATTGTAATCTGTAAATTAGGCTTGGAGTTGAAAACAAATGTACAATAACTAGAGGATGGGATCAACAAAAAACATATCCTTTAACTATTTTTGATAACTCCAGATTTTCTTAGTCTAACATTTATGAATTAAAATGAAAACAAAGTGCAGCTGAGGCTAAAGGGAATGTCAACGCAATTGCGTGATCATAAATCAAAAGGGAATGTCACTAAATGAGAAGCTTAGTTTTATTAGAACCGTTCAATATTTGTTGGTATGGTTGATATTTCACTCAAAATCATAAAAGCTTCAAAGTCAGCAAAGACTTGTCTAAAAGCGTTTTCGCTGTAAGCAAAAGTTATTCTACTGTGTAATTTGTAGTTAATTATGAGCATTGCTGCTTTTAAAACTGGAAGACGTCCGAAAAAAGACTGCACTTTTGAAGTTGTACTCTAAAATACTATAAACTAATTATGGGGTGGAAAAAAATGCATGTACATGTAGGTCTTTATTATTTCTAAGTTACGAGAATCGACACTGTTCTGTGATCGACCATCATTTTGTCAACCTAACATTTCAGTTGAATACCATCCTGTTTCTGAGCACAGTCATTTGTGTGAATGTTCGGACGATCACCAGTAATAGGAAAAGTTGACAACAATGTTGTTGCTGAAAAAGGAAAACGTCAAATCTTGAAACAAACATTGGATAATGTCAACATGCTGAGAAGAAGCGGATCAACTTAACAGCCCACTGTTTACCGAGTCATTTAAACTGCATGACGCATTTTCATTCCCACACATGTAAATCACAGTCCATTGATGTGGGGTGTGGCTGTATTTTTGAGCTAAAGTCAGCCTCTTATGGCGCATTTCCACTACAGGGCCTTGCTCAGTCTCGCTCGGTATGGCTAGGCCTCGTTAGGCCTTGTTAGGACTGGCTCACTTTATGCTGCGCTTCCATTACAGTTTAGTAACTGGGGCAGTAACTATAGAAACGCAGTGTAGGCGGAGCCGTGACGTCATCTTCAATGAGAACCACAAAACCAACATCAGCCATTAGCTGTTAGCACTCAAGCTCACAGCTCCTCATATCTGTTCAGAAACTAGACAAAAGTTAAACAAGTCCAAACCACAGACTGTCTGTGTCATGGCGAATAAAGTCGCTGGTTTATTTATGTCTGTAGAGGCGGTTGTTGTGAGTGTGGACGGTCGGAGCATATACAACGTTAGCTTAGCCGATCTCCATTCAGAAAACACACATTTTAAAAGGTTTTTTTGCATGACGTCTGCATGCAGACTTGTCAAAGCAATAATTCATGGTTTTTACTAACCGGTATCAGTATGTTGTTACTTCGGCATCATTTTGAAACTTGTATTACAATTAAATCACGATCAAATATGTTCATTTTGTTGTAGTTGCAGCCCCCTTGCCAGCGATTCTCTCTCTAGTTTAGCATACTTAGCCCGACTCAGCCTGGTTGTTGGCCCGGAAAGAACCTCGATGTTATGGGGCCAGAAAAACTGTGAAATAGTACCCGCTAGCCGGAACTACGCCAAGTGGAAACGCAACCAAAAACGGGCCGCCACGGCACGCTTAAAGCGAGCTCCGCGCTGTAGTGGAAATGCGCCATAAGAGATGTCCCACCCCTTAGCCTATCACATACAATGTGTTGGGGCGCTAGCCAATAGAAGCGCAATTGTTTCATAGTGATGTCATTGTGTTACGGAGGTAAACAAAATAGTCCAATGGAGGTGTTTCAGGCAGGGGGGGTGCTTATGCAGACCATTTACAGACACAAAAAACAATATAACACTCTACAGGAAAGGGAAAAGCACAAAAAGCGTAATAGGGCCCCCAAATGATACCAAGTACTGAATATAAAGTTGCATAAGAGTGTTCTTCTGTTGGAACTCTTAAAACCTAACTATTTTTACATGCTCCACAATCTATATATGATTTACTCGATGGTAAGAAGTACGCCGAGCGAGAAAGAGATCTCTTGGCTGTATAGCTAATGTCACATTTTTAAACCCCGAAATATTAACAGTGTGCCATGGACAAAGTGAAATACCATCCATAAACCTTGGACCAGATCAGGGAACAAAAACATGCATTTTTTTAAAGTTTAATTAATGAGTATATTTGCTCGTTCAAGACCGGTCCATGTTTCATCGTCTGGATTTCCTGACACTCTACCCATTAGATTGAAGTATTTCCTGTTTACTCATTTCAGCCTGATGATAGTGCTTGAAGCAAAGTAATCAGAAAAAACATTAGGATGTATCCTCTGGGGAAACATTAATTTACACGCAGCAAATGTAATGGCAATCTGGCCAAAGGTTTACGGAGAGGTCTTCTGAAACAAAGTGTTAAAGAGATTGACTAGGGAAAAAACTGATCTTTCAAGTCCTATTGCCAAGAGAACAGAAACAATTGCGTTGACACAACTAATGGGTTCATAGACAAATTGATTTCCACTCATTTTGATTGATTTAAAAAAAAAGAAGCAGTTATCATGTGACAGAAGGTGCTAATGTACAACTGACACGCATAACAAACAGCAGCTGCTCCTCACACTCCCCTCCCCCCATCACCGTATTCACCATCTCTCCACAATGTGCTGTGGGGTTTCTAACATGCATCTGCTCTCTCTTACTTTAACCACTTTTGATTATTTTCAGTTTTCTGAGCAACATTTTATTTGAGCTATGCATACACTTTTGCTTTGCTTGTACAATAAACTGTTGGCATCAATAGTAAAATGAACAATAAAATCCTCTATATGTATCATTTAAAAATGTTCCATGAGGACATCTTTTGTTATTGCCATTGCAGAATCAGTGACATCTATTAAATCACTTTTCAATTTGCTTTCTTATTAATGCTAGCACTGCTAAAATGTCTTCCGTTTTATTTTTTTGGTTGATTTGATTTGTCTGTGTACAGACCCTGTATGGCATGCAGGGTCTTTTCAGTTTACATTTTTTAATTTGATTTATAATTCATCAATTTATGGCTCACTTAAAGCAGGTATATTTGCTGATTGAAACATGTCATATGAAGTTTTAATGCATGTCTATTTAATATCATGCTAATAGATATAGATAGCAATAGCATATGAATATAGCATAGATAGGTATGTTATGATGTGTTGTGTAAATCAGATATATTAACCATTAAGCCCTAGATTACTTTAACTACTTGGACACTATCTTGCTATTCCACAAATGGTGACAGTAAAACGTCAAAAGATTTAAAAAATGCCAGGAAAGTTAATAAAGAAGAAGACTGTGAGCTATAACATAGATGAAAACCATGCTGGATTAAAAACAATTCAAGCTTTTCAAATGTTTAGGAAAGAGGGAAATTAACTATTCAAGGATACACATGGTGCGTGTTGTTGAATAACACTGAATGTTAACATAACTTTTGTTTGTTTACAAGACAACTCCGCAAGGCCTCTTTAGGCTTTGTCTGCTAATGTTCATCCATCCAAACAACATGAATTCAAGGCTTATGAAGGCATAGCCCAAAATATAGCCCATGCAAGGGTGGATTCACAACTAAGAGATTTCAAAACAGACCCACACAAAATACAAAACATGTATTAAATCCTGTTTAAGTTCTAATCCTACATTAACTATTAGTGTAGAGAGGTGGAAATGAGGCTTGGAAACAAGAGAGGTGGTCAGAAGAGTAAGAGCACAAAAGCACACGCACACTCTTTCTCTCAGCTCTTATCAGGACCCTCACACCATTGGTTGTCCAGTGTGTAACGGGGAGCGTTCCTAAACCACATTCCTCAGTCCAGATGGCTTTGTTCTGACTCCATGGAAACCTCACACTCTTCGAATCCAGCGACGCTCTGCCAGCAGCCCAGAGGAGGAGGAGACGCTCACATCGACACTCTGTCTTTGAGCCTCTGGACGTTTTTATAAGCCCTCCGCCGTTTGTTTGTGATCTCACCTACAACCTGTGTCTTTTCTGTGACTCTTTTTATTCGCATTTGTGAAAGGGAGACTGTGGTGTAACATTTAACAGAAATGTGTCAGAGGAGGCCTTATCAGAGAGCTTTCTGGCTGAGTATCAAAACTTTGACTTTTGCCTTTCACATGAGACTAAGATGTTTTGCAATCAACAACAGAACCTTCCATAGACTCATGCTGTTTTTTTTCTGTTTAATACAAGATTAATATCCGCTCTAACTTGCCCCACATATGACTCTAAATGTAGCTAACCATTTGTCTGGTAACACCTAACATCATACAAAAACTTTCATCTGAAGTTTAACTGACCACATGTGATCGGATCTCTCTTTAGCAGAGCCCCTGCAGAACAAATAAGGGAAACAGTGTTTCATCGTCTTACAAGCTGGTTTGGATCAACTCTCTCTGAGGAACACACACACAGTTGAGTAAGCGCTCCTTGATTTCTGCCCAGGACTCATTAGTGTACACGCTAGTGAAAGAACATGACCATATGCGTCCCAGAGCCCGTCCAAATGTGGTCTAAGAGATCAGATCTTAACGCTTTCTTGGTGTTTCTGCTATGCTTTTACCATCTGAACTAAGAGCTGTCCACCTGTGATTGGATGACAGAAAACGCATGTTTACACCAGGCCTGAACAGGGCCTGGGTTAAAGCAGGCCACAGTAACAGCAGACAGACACTGGAGCTGCTCTCACTCCAGCTGAACAGAGCTCACATAAACAGAGGACTGAGGGCGGCATCATAACGCCTGCAAAGACTAATACAAAGGCCGTCCTTGTGTGTGTACTCTTCCATGCATTTGTCCTGCGGGCGACTACTTTGATCATGTTGAACCAAATCAGTGTTTCTGAGAAAAACTGCCTCAACCAAACATAATTTCCAACAGCTGAAAATAGAGTAAAACCTGATGTTTCCCACACACGTCATCCTGAAGATTGAGCAGAGACTACTCGATGTTTACAGTAAAATAAGAGACGCCGTCCTGTGTTGAAAAGACACAGCATCTAAAAAATGACCATGGGTTTATAACTTTTAACCAAAAACAGAGATTAAAACAATAGCAAAGTCAGATGGCAGAATGATTCCCCCTCTCTTTGACAATTAATGTATTGTAATGTAGAACAGGCTCCTTAATTATCAACAAGTAAACAAAGATTAAAGTAAGGAGGCCAAGAGTCAAAGACAAGAGATGGAACATAATATTCCTGTGATTATATAATGTCCAGACTAGATTAGGAAGTAGTCGGGAAGCAAATAAGAGCCAGGGAGCTGATTTGTCATCTCTAAAAAACCTCAAAGGAGCGATAGATGAGGGTTTGATTGGGACCTGTTAAAAGCTCAAATGATTTCTTCGTATTTGTATTAGTATCTTGATATATAAAAAAATGTAAACTTCAGTCACTTGATAAGTCAATTAAATGTGAAACAAAGAAAATAGTTTGGAGGATTGCAAGTGAACTCCTACTTCTATTAATCTATCAGCTGTTTCTGCTAATGGAAGACCTTACAAAATCAATTAAAGTTAAGGCTAAAGTTACAGGAACTGGAATCAGATTCGTTTTGACCTTCTGCCTGTTGTTGTTTTGCAATCTAGTCAGATGACAGGTTATTTAAAAGTTGTCCCATAATAGAACTGTTTCTGAGTCAATGTAACTTAGGTTTAAAAGTCTTGTTTGGCTTGTTATGTAGCAAAGGCTGCAGCTAAATAAAGCAAGGAAAGAAAAAGAAGACTTCTCCAGGATGAATCAGACTGAAGAAGAGTAACTAAAGTTCTGATTGTGAAGTCATCAGAAAGCCTGAAATATAAACATGAAGTCCCTGATTTTAGTTGCCCCCCACAGGACCCCAGCTTGTGATGAGTCATCATGTCAGCAACGCAGCAGTATGGGATCCTTATCTCCCATCCTGGCTGCGTGGCTCCTGGGGGCCCCACAGCTCGCTTGCAGAAAGACAAACAGCAGCCGGGTCGGGTCAGGCTCAGATAAACAGCGCAGAGAGACAGAGAGTGCTGAGGAAGCAGACAGATCCTGCAGGGGACGCTGACGTAAGGACGCACCAGCAGGGGGGGCGAGGTGTCACAGAGGGGGTTACCCACAAGGTCCCAGGATCCATCAGAGCTGACGACCTTTAAACAACCATGTGTCCAGATAAAGAGAACCCAGGATAGAACACCCATACCAAAGTCGTTTTTTTGCACTGTGATAATGACTAGGGCTGCACAAACAATTGAAATGTTATCAGAATAGCAATCGAGTGGTGCAGGAATGAGTCCTCAAACCCTGAAATGAGTTAGCATTTACTCCAAGTCAAGGTTTTTTTTTTTGACAACTAAACGTCATCACCCTGAACATTAGCCATCTTTAGAGACCGTGGTGTAGTTCCTTTAGTCAAAGTCAACTTTATTGTCAATCTCAAAATATGTTTGTACACACAGAAAGATCGAAATTGTTTCCCACAGTCCCGAGGTATACAAAAAACACATAACCACAAAATACAAGAACACTCAATAATGACCAAAAAACACAAAATAACCATTTCCTTCAAGTAAGCAGGATATATATAAAAAAAGATGATGTACGTACATAGTGAAAAAATGTCCATAGCAGCGTAAAAGTGACTGGTGCTGGATTTGTTGTGTCTGTGTGTGTGTGGGGGTGTTAAAGTCCCGGTCCAGTGGGGGCAGGGTGGATAGGTGAGATAGAGGGGAGAGAAGGGAGAGAGTCAGTTCAGCCTCCTGACAACCTGGTGGACGTGTTTTTCAGTCGGGTGGTGCTCGCCCTCAGGCTGCGGAACCTTCTCCCTGAGGGCAGGAGGGTGAAGAGGCAGTTAGAGGGATGGAA